CCTAAACCTTAAACCCTAAACCCTAAACCCTAAACGCATATGTTCAAATGCAAAAGTTGAGATAAGGGCTTTGTTAGATGGTCTGAAATTCCTCCTGCAAAATGCAAGAAAAACCAACGATTAGGATGCTTGAAGCTCTAACATACACACACAAGCCCAACATTGTTACTGCTTCGTTGTGGACTTAAGAGAGGAATATAGGATGCTGGTATAGCCTACTGATAAAGAAATCCATGTTGAATCTCACTAGGGGACAGGCCTACTGAATCTCACTAGGGGAACTCTTAGTTGGCCATAAACGGAACCCCAGTGCTGCTGATAAAGAAATGCAAACTGTAACAGCATATTTACATTCAACAAAAACATGTTCCTTTGTCTCTGCATGCTCATGGAAAAATACACACTTGCTAGCTAAAGCTATACCAATACGCTGAAATGTTGAATCCATTGGCAATGCGTCCATCGGCAATTTCCATCCAATTAGCTTAGCACTTGGAGAAATATGTTGAGACCAAATAAGGGAAGACATTAAATTTTGCTAACCATGATCTTTAATCAAATTCCTTGCTGACTTAACTGTAAAGACACCAGAAGCAACCAATCCATAAAGTCAGGCTTTGAAAAATAATAGATGTTAGACTGCTCAATTTCATGAATCAACTCCTGTGACAATTTAGCATAAAATTGTTGATTCCATTGTGCAAGCAAAAAACCTCATTCATCCTTGTGAACGTTGGAGGAGAATCTTGCATTCTTAAGATGAGAGGACCATACCCTGTCCAGTTATCACACCAAAAATCCACAGAAGCACCATCACCCACAATAAATTTAGAGTGATTTGCTACCTCTACAAACCATGGAGATAAGAGCTTGTAGCTCTTAGAATGAACACACCTTGCTCCTCGCAGAACATGTTGATCTTTGAGGAATCTTCTTTTGAAAATTCTGGACCAAAGAGAAGACTTAGTCATCAAGTTCCAAACTTGTTTCATCTGAAATGCCTTAGAGACATCCTCATACTTTCTCAAACCAAGACCCCCCCTTCCTCCATCGGTTGTGTGACAACATTCCATGAACACTAGTGTCTTTTCCTGATAGTAGGATCATTTGACCAAAGAAATGCAGCCATAAGAGAGTTAATCCTAGATATTATTCCTTTAGGCAACTTAGTATAGGCAAGAATATGCATAGGAATAGCACTCAAAATAGATTTTATCAGCACAATTCTACCCATATTGGGCAACATTCTAGCATACCAACCTTCCAGCTTTGCTCTAAATTTTTGCATCAAGTCCTCGAAATAAACTAACTTAGGCCTGCCTTTAATAACTAGACATCCTAAGTAAGTGAATGGACACTTTCGAATAGGAACCTTTGTTGCTTGTTGTAATACTCTCCTTCTAGCATTTGAGATCTTAGAAGAACAATACATTGAACTCTTCGGAAATTTTATTTTATGACCAGAAGCTGCTTCATACTTAGAGATGAAAAAAAAGAAGATTCACCAAAGATGATTTTTCTCCTCTCAAAAATATCTAAGTTTCATCCGCAAATAATAAGTGGCTCAGCAATTCAGCTCCTCTGCCCATATGATGGTGCTTAACTTTACCCAGCTAATACAAATTCCTCAAGACTTCCTCAGCTAAAATAAATAATGTAGGAGACATTGGATCTCCTTGCCTCACTCCTCTTGTAATTGGAAAAAATCCATGTCTTTGGCCATTTAAAATTAGTGTGTTATGCTGATTAGCAAGACAGTGAGAAATAAGCAAGACAAATAATTCTGAAAAACCAAATGCAGAAAGAGTCTTCTTTAGAAAGTCTCATTCCAATCTATCAAAAGCTTTCATAATGTCTAGCTTAAGAATGATATTTCCTCCCTCCACCTTTCTATCCAATTTATCCACCATAAACTATGCAATAGAAATGCAATCACCTACATTTCTACCTTTCACAAATCCATGTTGTTCCTCCGATATAAGCGAAGACAATAAAACACTCAATCTTGTTGCTAACAGCTTTGTAAATATCTTATAAAAGAAAATGCATAAACTAATTGGCCTGAACTTTGCAAATGATGTTGGGTTATTATTCTCAGGAATAAGTGCTAGCAAGGTTGCATTGACTGACCTTGGTATTTCTCCTCCTTATTAAAAATGATTCACAGCTACCAAGATATCCTCTTGAATGATTTCCCATGTGCTATGGAAAAATTTGCCAGAAAACCCATCTGCCCCAGGCAAACTATCAGCTGACATAGAAAAGACAATTGATTTGAGCTCGTCCATAGTTGCTAACGTTGTTAATATAGAATTATCTTCAGTAGAGACTAAAGAGGGAATAACTGAAAAAAGTTCTTCTTGCATAGTATGTGATTCAATTGCATAAAGCTTGGAAAAAAAATCACTCAGCACAGGCAGCCATTTGATGCTCTTCAACTAACCAATTTCCATCCTCATCTTTCACTTTCCTAAGCTAATTTCTCACTGATTTTCCTCGTGCAATAACATGATAAAGTTTTGTGCTTCTTTCCCCATGCAAAGTCCACTGCATATTAGATTTCTGCTTCCAAACTCCTCTAACCTTAGAGTATCATCCACCTGTGTTTGTGCAACTTCCAAAGCTCACTGAGCATGATGGGTTGGAGCTAAATCTATCCTTCTCTCAGCTTCCAATAAATCATTCTCCTGTTTCTTTATTCTTTCAAAAATATTTCCAAATACGTTTTTGTTCCACCATCTCAAATGCATCCTCCTCTATTTCAGCTTAAGGAATACATCCTCTGACTTATAGAGAGTAGAGAAAAAAAACCTCTGCAACTTGGGCCATCTCCTTCTCATCATGCACCAACACGCCCCTCTCATTTTGAATCCTCTTAATTATGTTCCTTACTACCTTACCTTTTGCAACTGCAAGGTAAAATTTAGAATTCCTCTCCCCTTCCATTGCCCATTTTCCATTGGCCTTCTGTCGCCAAAAAATTTCTTCCAACCTTGACATATCATCCAAACCCTTCTTTTCCTCCTCCAAAACTGCTTCATTTGCTGCATTAGGATCCCTCTCCATGACCAGCTTAGCCTCCAACAAAGCAACTTCCTTTGCCCTTATCAAAGATATTGCCAAAGACTTCCTTGTTCCAAACTTTCAATTGAACTTTTAGTCTCTTAAACTTTAAAAAGACATTCTCAATTGGGTTACTTGAAAAAGTCACATCCCATGTAGCTTTTACCAAATGCAAAAAACCAGGATTCTCCTTCCACGTTTCTTGGTATTTAAAATAAGACACCCTAGGTACAACTGGAGTATCCAAAATCTTGGCCAAAAGAGGACAATGGTCTGAACCACCCCTAGCCAAATGCAAAACTTCAGTTTTTTCAAAAGTCAAATTCCAAATAGAATTAACAAACATTCGATCAATCCTTTGCCACATCCTGCTACTCCCCCATGGTCATTACACCAGGCAAACCTACTTCCTTCAAAACCATAATCAAACCACCCCCCATCATCCACACATACTCTAAAGTCCTCCATAGAAACAAAGGAAGCGGGAGCTCCACCAAGCATGTCAGCATAATTCAAAACTGTATTAAAATCACCCATCATTATCCAAGGAATACTAGAAAGGATTACAATATTCCTCAAATGACCCCACAAAGGTCTCCTCAACAAATAATCACGAGCTGCATAAACTACAGAAAGCCAACACAGCTTAGACTGCAAAAAAATTACTTCCAGTGACAAAGATTGTTCATGTGCAAATAACATCCTTACCTCCACTCTATCATCCCATAACAGCCAAATATTCCTCTCAGCCAACTCACTATAACAAAAACCTCTGAGATCTAAAAATTTAGCAAACTTAAGCAATCTCTGAGCACTAAGCTTAGGCTCTTGAATCACAATAAGACAAACATCATTTAACAAAATTATCTTCTTAATTCTCCTTCTCTAAGTAGCTTTACCTTCTCCCCTTAAGTTCCAAGAAAGAATATTAATCATTTAAAAGGTAAATAAGCCTTACCTCCATGGGTTACCCTATTCTGAACCTCCTCACCTTCCTCAGGTAAAGATACCTTTGTGCATTCAGTATCCATAGCTACTTCACAACTATTAGAACTCCCCTTGTCAAAACAATATCCTCTATCAGGAGGTTCTTTCAGCACAAACAATCCCCTATTGTCATCTAATGGCCCTTTACCCCTCTCTTTCCTCAAATTGATGATCCACCAAAAAAAAAGAAAGTAAAGAAGGAGAACACTGCATGTTCAAACCACATAAAGACTGTAAAGCTCCTCCTTCTAATGAATTACCACCTAATTCCATCCTTCCTCGACACCAACAACCTCCATTTCCAGTTCCTGAACAGGACTTTGATTACCTAGCAGTTCACGTAGACACCCATTTTTCTCCTCTTGAATACTTGCAACCTTAGCACCCCCATCTCCTATCTCCCCCATATCCATTTCACACTTCTCTCCCCATGATTTCCTTGGTGAGGGAACAACATTCCCCACCTGCACATTAACTAGTACAGCACTGATTTCTTTATTCGCCTACCCCCTAAAGACCACATACCCTCTTCTTGAACAGCAACTGAACAAGAAGATACGTCCTTACCCCAAATGATCACTAACCTCCTCCATAACACATTTACCTTTCCCTATGGATATTAGACAATCCTATCCTCCCTCTGAGACTCGCGTCTTCCCCTCTTTGGCAATGAGTACTTCTCCTTTTTGCAAATCAGCCAACTAATTTTCTTGCTTTTTCCCTTTTCCTTTAACCACTCTCCAAGGCTCTTCCTTATTGTCCTTTATAGGGATCTCCCCCTTATCATTAGGCAATCATCCTCCTTCCATTTTCTTCCCTTTTCTACAATCCTCATCACTATGTCCATGTTTCAAACAAATAGAACAATACCTCCCTTCCCTTTCATAACAAATTCTCTGCCATCTCCCAGACGAATCTCCCATATCTAACCAGAATCTTTTAGGATTATTCTCTAGAAGATTAACTTCTACACAAGCCCTCGCTACCTCAAGACGTGTAACTACAAAGTCGAATTGTCGATCACCAAGATCCTTCCTACTAGACTCAAAATATCCCTCAGACTATCATGATTAAAAAGATGAATGGGCAACCCAAGAAGGGACACCCATACAGGAATTACAGAAGGCTCAACACCAGGTTGAAATTCAGGGAACCATTTGAAAAACCTAAACAAGAATCCTTCGATATAAGTGGCATCTTTTAGCCAAGTCTTCACGTAATCCTCATAGAGTGAAAACCTAATCAACACATGCCGATGATCCAGAATTCCCACTGTAAATTCCCCTTTCAGTATCCACCGAGTAGTAATAAATTCTCAATTTACTCCTAGGGAAGGTTTCCCATAGGCACATTTGTCAATTAGGGTCTGACCAAATATCTTCGATAACTAAACCCCAAACCCCAAGCCTTGAACCTCAAACCCCTAGACCTTCAACCGCTAGATTTTTTGGTTCCTTGTACGATTTGGTTGTAAAATTTTATTGGCAGGGCTTGGCATACTGGTAGGGAAAGATTAGTTGTTGTGGGCTGACAAGAATGACAATTGTTAACTATGTGGAAGGTTAAGAGTGATTGTTGGCTGACTTATACAGCGGTTACTCGAAAACAACTGCTCCAACCATGCAAGGGATTTCTAATTTGTTCAGTAGTATGGTGGTTTACAGGAAAATCACCCCAAACATTTGAGGCCGAATCTGATTGGTGTCAACACGTCCTAGCAATTGGGAATGTCAACTGCATTGGTTGATTTAACCAACGCTGGAGATAGCATTACCTAGGCAGTTGACTTGTAATTGCAATTGTAGGTTTAAATATTGATACTAGGGTCTGTAGTACCCTAAGAAAAAATTTGGGGTGTTTTTTAAAGGCCTTTAGTTAGAATCCTTGTACTTGCTGAGAAGTAAAAAATTGGCACATTGTCCTACAAACTTGTGTCTACTTTGTGTTTGATATATTGTTTTTGCGAGCATTGTATGTGTTTGGTTCATACTAAGTATAAGATCTCAGTGTCATCACAAGGCAAGGTTCATTATGATATCTTTAAGGGCAACAATATTTTTGCCCACTCAATATACATCTGTTGTTGTGACATTTGTAGCTACAATAAAAATCTTTTCGCTCAATTCAATTTCTGGTAGGAAATTTTTTCTTCAATATTTTATTCTTCTCGTTCTTGTTGTATTTGTTTGGTTTTGTGTGCCACAATATTTTTCTAACCAACAATTAGGTGTTTGGCTCACCTTTTCATCCTTAAATCGTAAAATACCAAAATTTGTCACCAAAATATACTAACTATGATCTCTTTTTTAGATGGTTAGTTTTTGTTTTCAATAGGACCCAAATTTTACGGTAAATCTAGTCTCGATGTGAAGGTTGAATGAGCTACAACGTTTATTCATTAAAGTTGTTTCTAGTCTATCTATTTTAAAATAGGGTTCAAAGTGAGAGATCAGAATTAGGGTGAAGCTGTGAAAAATTATTGTCAGATCTTGAAGAAAAGAAATGAAGACTTTATTTGTATAATATTAGCAATAAAAGCATATGGCTTGCATAAACGGTCACTAACATTATAGGCCTGCGCATACCAACTATTATTGTTATCATTATTCTCTGATTTTTGACATCATTAAATACATTTAATGCTTTCCTTATTTTCTGGGCAGATTATGAAGTCTAGCTAAGAGCAGACAGCCTGTGAGATTGTTGAGCAATGATTGCAGCACTTGAAGGGCTCTGTTCCAAGACAACCTCATAACCATCGCTAAAGTTGTCCATTCCTTGGGCCATGAGTTGCCAAAACAGCTCACCAGCACATGGGCCGTCACTTGTTCTTGCACAACTGTAGATTGTGTTATATATGTTCCCAAAATAGGAGTCCCTCGCACCCACACTGTACCCAGCTGACCTCGAAGACTTGCCGAACTCAGTCACCAGGAGTGGTTTCCCAAGCACTGATTTGGAGTCTAGGATATGGGCTTGGATCCACCTATCCACAAAATTAGCTTGGGCTTGATCATTTGAACCAGGCATCCTGCCATCCCGTGCGCACATCAAACCAATATTATTAAGGTGAGTCTAATGCCCGTATAGTGAATAGAGTAAAATATCACAATGAGTTTCACGTCATTTCTCAAATGCTACGCCCAGTTATTATTTATTAGGTCCACACATGGTATGAGTTTTTTTTATTCTTTTTTGGTATCTGGTAAGTAGAATTTAACTGTTTATCTTTTTTTTATGCAACGTGCAATGTTTTTCTTTCCAGACTAGAAGTTACAAACCATTGGTCCGGGTAGAGATGAATTGTAGCAAAATCGACTCCAGGGATCCAATTATTGGAAATGAAGTCCGTCCCAACTTGGTAGCCTGGATTGTATTGTTTCTTTTCGGGCATCGATTCCCCATAAAATCCTTCAAGCCCAACTTCCAGAAGATGATTTTTATCATAGGATTTAACTTCGGCCGTCATTTCTACAATCCACTCCTGTAAAAAATCAAGTATGTCATGACTAAATCCCAAACAATCAGCAGGTGTGGTGCAAAAGATATATTTATGAGCCTTGGAAGTCGGCAATGTCGTGCTGGATGATTTTTATGACAAAAAACATTTTGAACAAAAGAATCTAGATTCTATTGCATTATGTGAACAACGTTTAAAGTTAAAAAATTATCTTGTAAAAGAACATACAAAATAACATATCAAATCTTTCGCAGACCTTACTCAATTTACATTGAAAGACAGACAAATGGTATGGCGAGAAGGTGATTCATCAAATTTTCACATTAGTCATTGCTCTCGAACTTGCATGCAATTTTTTTTTGATAGGGCGCATTAAATGGAGTCTTGGAACTCTTATAATCCTCTTTGTAACATTATTTTTTATTTGCTTGGGACGAGTTGGAAGTCCCCTTCTCAAAGAAATAGTAGTACTTCGCATAGTTCATGCCATGTCAATATCAAACAAATTTAAAGAGGATGCCTTCTCTTCATCGTCGAAACACATGGATCTCAATGTAACTCGAGCTAAATTTTATGATTTGGGTGCAAGCGTGTGTGCCAAACAGTGGCGAAGCCACATTGAAGGGTGTGGGGGCAGTTGCCACCGCTGACTCTTGAATTAACATGCAACATATTTTATTAGAGAGATTACATATCTATTAAAATTAATACATTGTCCCCCCTAATTTTTTGATAATTAGAATGGCAGCCCCAGGTCTTTTTTTTCCTTCAATATGTTAATAGTCCACATGTTTTGCTTTTGAACCGATTTACAACGAAAGTTGTATGCCATATCTATTTATCGATTGAACACAATACTTCTCCACTTTTTAACACGTTCTCTTTACTTTTCAAGGATTAAACATATGCTTGACCTAATTATGTGTGAAGTTATGTAATTTCAATGAAGATAATTTACGAGGTGCAATTAAAATAATATTATTGCACCATATTAGCCGTCACATCATTAGGTCATCAAATTAAATTAATTATTTAGGTTCTAAAGTATTTCTCTTTATATTTTAGTAAATAAGTGAGATTTTTTCATCAAGTGGTAAAATTCTTCCATACAATTTGATGTCATGACTCTATCTTCAGTTTCTCGTTAGACATAATCCTACATTGTGTGCATGTGTCCCAAATATAAATTAAAATCATATTTAAAGTTCTATATTCTAATTTTATAATTATAGTTTGAACTTACATATCTGTTAGAGTATGTGTGGCTCATATTTTGCTATGTGCATAATGGCAAGGAGGCAGATGCCGGAGTGGGCGGAGGGTAGCGGAGTGGAGCGAAGCGGAACGTAGCGGAGCGGATGTAGGCACATTGCCTGCATAAGATGTAACCCTACTTCAATAATGGAATAGAACGGCCGCTCGCTCTCGTGGATGTAGGCACATTGCCGAACCACGTAAATCTCTGTGTGTTATTTTCTCCTGCTTTCTTAATTGTTTGATTCCTTACTATTCATCATAATTGCTGCACGATCACAACAATATCCTAAGATTGAAACCAAATATTGACAGATCACTATGTTTGCAATAAAATTAAATAGTTTTAGCTTTATTATTTTAGTTTAATAATGAGTTAGAAGTTGCCCCCACTACATAAGTCTTGGCTCCTACCCTCGGTACGAAACAAAGTCAATGTTGTGACCGTGTGTGTTATTCAAAAAAAATATTTGAGATGGACGGGGTGGGGTATTTGGATATCTAAACACATAATTTAAATGTGAAAATTTGTCCTTTAAAAAACGAAATATTGAATGAATTAATCTTTAATCAAGAGATTTAGTATTCTTCTTTTTGTTTTAGACCTACAGGTCTATTTGAGTGAGATGGTTTACACAAATTTGAGGGTATGAAAGTTACTGATTCGAATCTCATATCTATCAATTGAAATGATAGTTAAAAAATATTTAAAAAGTATCTTGTTTCCATGTAGTGAAGATATTAATCTTTGCCCAAGTTTATGAGAGAAGTAATATTATTTAAATCTAAAAATCTGATATAATTTAGACGGGAAAGAACCTGAATAGCTCGTCCAGATAGGTCACTTTGGCAACGAGGCTCGTTCATTAGCTCCCATGCAAAAATGGTGGGATCATCTTTATATGGCACCCCAGTTATCGAGTTGACTCTTGTGAGCATGGCCTGCATCCCGATGTCCGCATCAATTTTTTGATATAATTTAAGAGATAATTAAAAGTATCAGATGTGAACTGCAAGTTCATAACAAATCGCGACTGCGAGACTTAACTGTATAATACATTTATATAAGAAATCACTGCCTCTTGTGCTCCTTCTGGTAAAGATAATTAAGAGAAAGATAACGCACTAAAAGAAAACTGATGTTCCCCCTCCCCTTCCCCTTCTCCTCCCAAAAAAAAAACAAAAAGAAAACTGATGTGACTTAAATTCAGACATATGTCATTCTTCCTAAGCATTAAAAAGATAATAAATTAGAGGAGATACGTGATATTTACCTTCACATGATTTTTGTAGTACCCTTTAACAACGGGGTTGGTATAAAAGTCATCATCGTTGTTCAAGTGTTGACCTTGGTCCCTTGCCCACTGGACATACTGTCTTTTTCCCCCAAAAGCTTCATAATTATTCACCAAGCTAAGTATCAAGTAAACTCCGTACTTCCTAGCTTCTGACACCACAAAATCCAATCCCTGATCAAAATCCCCCCCCCCCAAAAAAAAAAAAAAAAGAAACAAAAATGAATACAAATTGAAGAAAACTAGTTTAACATAAATTGAACGAACGGTCTTTAAGAACAAAATTTCTCTGATTCCCGTGTATAATACTTCAAGAAACTAAAGATCAAATATGTATAAAGAGAAAATCAGGGAATCAGTAAATTAATCTGGTTAGATTACCTTGAACATGTTCTCATTGTAGGAACCAGGAGAGTACTGTAGGGGTTTGTAACCACCATCACTGAAAGCCCAAGTTCTGGCAACATTCATCCCATATTTGGAAGCTTGTTGAAATGTAGTTGTTACCTTCATCCTCGTAGACGCGTCAGATGCCATGTACATCAACCAATAAGCATTGAAGCCATTTAGGAATAACGGCTTCCCATTCATCAAGAAATGGGTCCCGCTTATATGAACAAAACTGGGGCCGAGATAGGCTCTAGCCTTGCAATACTCCTCTTGGAAGAGAACCAGAAGAACCAAGAAAATAAACCTAAGAAATAATCTTTTTCCCACCATTGTTGAATGTTGTATAGCTCCAAATGTTATATAGCTCCCGGAAGGAATGCTTGTGTGGTTTACCAAGCCCTTATAAAGAAGTGCCACGAATGCGAGAGGTTGTCCAATGTGTGTTTCATTGACTAGCTCTCGTTGGGGTTCTATAGACGCCAATCTAAACTAGGAATGGGAGTGGACCGGATAAAAATAGGTATTTGTTCAAGCCTGTCCCGTTTAGACCGAAGATGGACCATATGTATAGAACAGTGAACGTATATGAAAATACATGTATAAACCCGTGTAGGGATGAAGGCGGAGATGAACTAACACTTATCCTCGCCCCGTCCAGCCCCGCTTTATCCGTTATTATTATTATTATTTTATATATATATATATGTTGCTGTGAAATACAAATCTATATATTATTGAATGATTTTTTCTTTTAGAATTTTTTTTTTTTGATTTTTTTTCATGGTTTTGACTTTTAAAAGTGTAAATCTTTGTATTTTTATATTTTTCATGTTGGATTATGTTACGTTATATTATATTGTGTTGCATGATATTGTGTTGGATTTACAAGGATACAAATTTTTAATTATATTATGTTGGATTATGTTGTAGTCAAGGTTTTAATTAACATAATATAACATAAATGACAAACTTTTAATTATGTTATGATATTCTATAATTATGTTGCATTATTTAGAATGTTAGATTTATTTAAAATTTTAGATTATATTGACTTGGGCTTGGACGAGTTAGGCAGACGAGGTGAGGGCAGAGGTAAAGGCAAGGGACGAGGCAGGGGTGGGGTTTACAAATTTACTTGGGGATGGGGATGGGGATGAAAACTATACCCATTAATGAGAGTGGACCAGGGATGAACGAAAATTTTTTAAGCGGGACACTTGCGGGACCACATCCTAATCCAGACATCTGCAGTCCACTGTCATCCCTAAACCAGACATTTGCGGGACCACATCCTCCGCAAAATGCCCTTCATTTTTTTTATTTCCTTTTTGTTTAAAGTAGAAGTGCTATAAAACCATTGTTTATAATAACATTTTTCAGATGATGATGCACAAAAATGAATTTATGCACAATCAACAGTCGAGTAATTAATATGGATAATAAATGTAATAAATATAAATGTGAGATCAACATAGACAACACACACATATAGAGTGGTTCGGTCAAGGTAATCTACTTTACTTTGAAGGCGGCCAGATGATTTTATTGATAAAGTAGTTGATGGGAAAATACAAGTAAGCTCTAAAAGAGGTTGAGTAACTACAAGAGAGATAGTTGTGTAAAGAATGTGTAGAGAGATGTAGAGAGCTTACAATTTATAGGCACAAAATCTTAATTGAGGCGATGGCGTGAAGAGATAAGTGACTTCATCCTTCGAAGAGAGTAGTTATAGCTAAGGATAGGTACAATTAAAAATAATCTCAATCTTTGAGTAGTTATTACGATGTTTACTCTCTACACATACACTGATCTTCTGAATCTCTTGAACTCGGCAGAAGGTCATTTGTGCGACCCACGAGATACTATCAAACTAGATCCTATTCTACTGTTGTATCCATGTGTCGTAAAAAATGGTAAGAAACACTGATTTCTTCTTTTAAAAGTTTTTGTTTCTTAACTTTTTTGGTTATTTTTTTATGATAATTTGTTATGTTACGCCTGAATATTGAACGATACATTTGCCTACAAAAACAAGTGGTTAAGGGTGTTTATTGCTTCTATATTTGTAAAATTACATTTCCACCATTACAAACACAGTTTATTGCCTCTATAAATCCGTAAATTAAATGTTTCCACAATAGATGAAAGCAAAATATCATGAAGTATAAATGCATGAAAGTTGAAATCTCAGTGACAGTCAAAAAGCTGGGGTTGATAGTGTAATCAATTTCTTTCCAAAAACTCACATCGATTGCTTTAGGATCACCATAAATTGTGATTTATTAATAGCTTCCATAGAGATCAGCTCTGTTAAAAAAAACACTTAATCACTTCAAATAATTGCAACTTGAACAAACAGAAACTCACATGGTAACTCTGAAAATCAAGGAGTTCCAAGATAACAAATGGCACAGCCATAGTATACGGGCCACCGCTTGTGTCTAACCCAATATGGCTATAATATGCTTCATTTCATAAACCTAGTAGTAATGCGATCACTACTTGATTAAGAGACAGTAAGTGATGTCAAATGTTGGAGTTTTTACTTGCTTAAAAACATGAATATGTGTTGACATGTCATTTGATGCCATAAACACCTAGCGCACACTGATTTTTACATTGCGTGCAGATTTAGGTTATTCCCAATCCAATTCACCTAAAATGCATCAGTGAATCACCTACTAATGCCGTGGGTCTCGCATAAATTTGTGATTAATATGTGTTAGACAAAAAAATGTGAAAAAGAATTACTTGATTAAAGTGTCATTAAACTCTTGGTAACAAGATTAATTAGTATCCCATCACCACTCTATCACACAAACCGTGTAAGCAGAAGTGGTAAATTTCGACAGAAACACAAATCTAAATACTCGAGATGTGAAGAACATAAATAACAAAAACTAAATAGCTAGCTACTATCTTACTATCACTAATATTTTAGCCAATTCTGGAGGGGTGAAATGATCCCCATTTGGAACTAATCTCTTCAATCTATCTGGTAGTCATCCAGTGGATCAACTTGATTGACCTTTCTGTTGACATGAAAAGAAGTAGTCAGTTATTAATATTTGTGAGTGGCGTCAAGATGCAACAACCCAACGACACCTCGTGTCAGCACTTGAACCGTCGCCTAAGTTTGCTTCTATGCTTTGTTCATTCATCCAACTGTAATAACTGAATTCACATCCTCTGCACATATATCTATATATTTTACTATACTATAAAACAATCCAATTAAGGATGAGAGATTTTGAGAACCCTTCCTTTCTAATGCTTCATTTGGTAAAAAGGATGAAAAGTAAACAATATAGAAAGTATGAGGATACATTTCTATCCTTTAAAGAATGAAAGTAGGAATAATACACTTTCCTTCCTTTATGTTTGGTTGGATGGATGAAAAATAAAAATGACTATTTTTTTTTTTGCTAACTAAGATTAAGAGTGACAATCGTGTTATGTCAGATTCGTGTTGATTCATTACGAATTTGTATTGAACATTAGTCAAATCTAACTCAAGTCATTTAACTAATTGTGTCGTGTTGAGTTACAAGTTGATCTATTTATTTTCGTCTCGTGTTCGTATTCGTGTTAATCCACATAAATTTTGAATAAAAAATTTAACGCTAATATTCTTTTTTTTTAAATTTATTTTTAAATATATATATATATAAATACATATTTTATCATTGTATTTTTAAATGAAATTAATGTATACATAATATATGTATATATTAAAAGATATATAGACAAATAAGATACATCTCAACATAAATAATTAACTTTTTATCCACTTTCCTTCTTATTTTGGAGAGATTTATTTTGGTGAGTTGGAAGGAAAGTTAATCTATTCACTTTTTTATCCTTCCTATTTTCCTTCCTTACCAAATATAATATTTTATTTATCCATTTAACTTTTCATCCTTCCATCTTTTTATCCTTTCATTTTTTCATCATACCAAACGGAGCATAAATGCTACTTTACTATAATTTTAAAATATTTAATTAGTTAACTTTAATCAAAACATTACATGTGTTCTTTGTAACCACTTCCACCATTTTTTTAAATTAATTCAAAATTTAAATTTTCAATCATATTTTTTAATTATTTAAATATAAATGAATGCCATTTTAATACTAATAGAAATTGTTTAGAAATATTATGGTAACGGAGGTAATAATGGGAAGAGAGAATAATTTCGTGCATCGCACGAAGTGCCTAATAATATAAATAGACTAACGATAACTCGTGTCTAAATGTATTATACAATTCAGAAAAATCAATCATTGATTGTGAATAAAAAAAATAAAGTACTAAACATAAACGCACACATTAAGCTGGAAGATATAATTGTATCTTTAACTCACATGCACTTTGAATTAGTGGACAAAGCACGACCTATATGTAGATGGAGAAAAATCAACTTTAATGATCAAAATCTCATAAACTTAAACGAAAAACGCATAAAATTCATATTCTTGAAACTACATACCTAATTAGAATTAACAGTAGTACCTAATAAGCATGATCGGTTTAAGAACCAACATTCACTTATCTAACTTAATATCAGGACTTTGGTGAACTAAAGTAAGTCGGAATGCTTTCTTTTCATTCATCATAAAAAAATACAATTAGAAGAAATGTATGTGCCTCAAGCACTATATTATGCTAAACAAAAAATCGTCAATATTTAATCAACCATTTTTTTGTGTTCATTTAAAAAATTTAGACCAAATTTTTCTTACAAATAGAACTGCAAGAAACTATCAATCTATATTAGACACTTTGTAAAACAGTAATTACACGATCCACCATCTATAAAATCATAAAACAAACTGTGAACACCCACATGTTATATTGCACCAATCCAACCAAATTGTATTGTCTATACTAAATGAAGACTTACAACAATCTATATTGCCCATACAAAAGACCAAGTAAAATGGAAGTGGTTAAAAAATAAACATGCACCTTTTATGTATCCAGAGCAACTCAAAACTATACTAACCACATCAACTGCATCATAGCAATATATGAATATGTGACAATCCAAACATAAAAGAGTGTAGTACAACCTTTTTTTCAAAAGTTTATAAACAATCCATTAAATTTATTAGTCTCAAGCAACTTCTATGACACAATAAAATAACATAAACTACTTCTAAATCAACTCTACCTTTATAAATCAGCAAAAATCAGTGTTTGACCAATTAAAAATATTCTACCCTTAGATTATATATTTGAATTAAAATATACAATGTACACTTGCAAAATGGGAGAAATAAAAATTTAGACAGAACATCTCCCGAGAATATTAAACACAATCCTCTAT